CTACCAGTTCTGAAATTGTCTTCCTTTTTCTCAAATCCAAATTACCTATCTAAAAATCTTTGTACTTCACAGTTTTAAAAAAAGGAAACTTTATTAAGGATTTAGTAGATTACTTAGATTGTACAGCTTTCCTACTAACCTAAAGCTTATCAACTTTATTGTTACCTACTGATTTTCAAACTGGGCATTAAATTCAGACTGGGGAAGAGCACAGGTGGACCAAGCAAGAAGGACTCCTCCCTCCATTTCAACAGCGTAGCTGAATTCTGCCTCCTTTATAAACTGAGTTCCAGCACTCTGTGACCTGATAGAAAATTCAATGATGTTAGTAACTAATCAGATACTTACGTAAGCTTCACTAATACCCATTTTATTCCTCAAAACATTTACGTCCCAGTTCCTTCCAATGTTCAAGACAGATCTTTATACACACATACATATACATATATACATAAAACTATTATAAACTGTATGTTACATGAAATTTGCACTGGTAAGCAAGTCACTTAAACTTCATTAACTATTATATACTGTTAAGTACGAACTGTCTTCCCTTAAGAAATGTATTCTGCCTTTTAAGACTACGAGCATTCTTTACACTGGCAGACGTAAGGCCTCATCAGTTTTTCCCTCTCATAACTTCTAAAGCTTAAGTACATGAAGTATACACACTAGTTCTAAACACTTGACTTAGATAATTAGGTAAAAGCAGAAATGCATTTCTTTTTAGAAGCTTGCCACCTTACCCTAATGCTAAACAGATAAATCTGAAAGTAATTTTGGAGAGCTGGAAACAGGAATGCCTTTAACAATCGTGTTAAATTCTTATCAAATAAATTCCATGATGGGGCAGCCTGTTAAATCAATCAAGGTATAATGTCAATTCACACCACCCCGAAGAGTCTATTTAAAAGAGAATATATTCTCGGGAGTGTGTAGCATTTGAAACACATCCCCCCTAGCCCTGCAACATTTTTTAGGGCGGGGGGGATTTCAATGAGATTAAAAATAAGGATTTAAGTTTCGAATTTATGCAGAGTAAGGAAAATAATGAGGCCCTATGTCTGCCAGGGCTAGTGGTTTGCAACAACCCTACGAGGTAGTTATTGTCCCCATTTTACAGATGAGGAAAACTGTGGCTCTGGTAAATTAAGCGACTTTGCCCAAGGTCCCATTGGGTATGGGTTTATCTTAATCAAAAGTCTGTGCATGGGCTCTTTCACTGCAGCAGTGGTTTTCAAACTTGGTATCCGGGATAGGAGGAAATGGGTATACCAGAAAGAAGGGCTCCAGACCAGTATCTCTGTCTCAGCCAGAAGCAGCTATATATTTTATCGGTTTTACATGCAGGGCTTAAGTCTGTTTTTTTGTTTGTTTGTTTTTTTAAGTTTCCTTAAATAAAACATTTAAACTACTACACTACATCAGGCCACCTGCTTACTAGAGTTGTACTAGTTTATCTTCATTATTTTTCCCCACAGAGAACACTAAATTTTACTCAGTATTACTTATGACCACATAAAAGAAAGATATTTTGCATAAAAGACTTCAACAATTTGTAACATATCTTTCCAGGCTATGAAGCCCATGTGACCAACTTTTAAAACAAAATGTTCTGTTAAGTTCTCCATAAAGATTTCAGGATTCAATTCTTCAGGCAAGTATAATTTTTACATTATGATTAAAATTGCCTATAATACATGAATTACTTCTGCAACATAATCTGTACATGCAAATATAGAATATTTACACACCATACTTTCTTAGCCTGCAAATATCACCCATTTTCACCCTGCATCTATTGAAAAAGGAAAAAACGTTACCCCTACTCCTCTTGCTTCCAAATGTTGTAGTTAACAGACAGGTTAGAAGCAGCCTCAGTTTTAATTAAACTCTAACGCGAGGAAGCAACTTTATCCAGGCGATTGCATATTAATCCACCAAAAACAAACAGACCAAAAAAACCCTCCATTTTCCTTCACTATCCAGGATTGAGAATAAAAGCATCTAACAAATTTACGACAAAGTCAGAGATCTTAGTTGTTCTCTTAGATAACACACCCAAACTAACGGTTATAAAAACTTTTGGTAATGGTCATGAATACTTTTTATTGGAAAGAAAATTTAAACTCATTAATTTTCAAAAAGAAAAAAGTATATCATCCAGTAAATAAAAAATAATTTCCACCCCTATTAGCAAAAGAGAAAAAAAATCAATAAATCTTTCTGGAACATATCAATAGGAAGTTTTAGTTTTAATTGACTTGTTTAAAGAGTGTAGGTAGTTACTTAAAAGAACGACTCTCGTTAAGCAGCGAGCAGTAAGACCAAGGCAATCAAACTAGCATCTTCCACAGAAAGGGACTATTCCTTTAAGTGTTTAAGAAAATTTTTTAGGACGGTTTTATCATTCTAAAGAGCTGACAGTTACATACACATTATTTGTTGTCACTTAAAAATCCTGGGCAGAAAAAAAAATCACTAATAAGCAAAGAGAAGACAAAGAGGTTTTCTTGATCAGTCCAATAAATACAGTACTCAGAATCAGTACAGAGCAACGAAGTCCTCCCAGTGAGACCACACACTTACAGTACTCAACAGAAAATATAGTAAACTTCAGAATTCCACTTGCCTACTCATAACCCAGTCTGTTTAGACCAGTCTGTTTTTCTCAGCTCACTCAATTTAAAATGTAGTTAAAAATTCAAGTGACTGATTCATTTTAATTTTTAATCAAAATGCCAGAAGTTACAAGCTATATTAAAGCAGGCTTATTTAGAGGTTATTCCGTTGCAAGCACAATACCGCTGTACAAATAATTACTGTTTGGGGACACGGGGAAGTAGCTTTTTAAAAATAACCTTCTTCGAGGTACACTTCTGTCTGTTAAGTCTGGATCTGCCTACACTCAACTGGATGAAAAGTATGGAAAACAAAAATGGTGACTACGCTGGGTACTTGTGGTGCAAACTACGTTGTGACTATGCAGGAACTCTACTTACCTTCTTGTGAGATTCAAACTGACTAAAACAATTTGCAAAAATTTCCCAAAACCTTCTGGATAACAGGAGGGCTGCCAGAATACCAAGACAGCTTCTCAAGGTGACTGCTCCAAATAACAAAAATATTTTGGGTAATTCTTAAGTCTCACTTCCATGTGTGGAAAGTTGAATATGGTGTCCAATATCCCTTCCAAAGCTCAGTCTTGACAAATATAATCATACCTCATACAAGCAGCCAAAATCAGCCCTACACACCACACTGTATTAGCTATAGACATCTTATAACATGGGAACATCACACTTTATAAAGTACATTTTCTTGCAAATGATCACATATTAATTTGTTGCACCTAAAGTATACTACCATTAAAAGTATAATAATTGATCAAATGCAGAAGCCAGTTGCTGGATCTTTAATATTCAGTTTAATATTAATGGTGATTAATACTTAATGTTACAGACTTACTAGTCTGCAAAATTTTCAAATCAGTATTTATTAGACAATAAAATAACTATACCAAAGGTTACTTCTAAGTAACTTCAAAGAAGTCATCTTACAGTTTAATAAACAATAAAAAAGTTATCTTCCACACAAGTACCACGATAAAATAATTTAAACAAACGATTGATTCTGCAAGTTCTTTTAAAAAATTACTTCCAAAGGTATTAAAAGAAAATATTTTCCTTTGTCCTGTGCCACTTTTTTCTTTTTCCCCTCCTACTTCTGCTCCCCTCAATACATAATATTATGGATGCAAACTCAAGAATTCAAGGTCAAAGGGATAATTTTGCTTCACAAATACCATGACCTATACTGTACAACAAAAACAAGATAAAAGTTGAATAGAAGTGAACTAAATCCCACAAATTAGGATGTGTAACAAGATTATCTTTGAAAAAATAGGTATTTTTCTCTCTTTCTACTAGAAATAGCAAAACATTCCACATTATTTTCTTGCCCAATTGCATGGTTATTTAGCATACATTCCAACAGTGTACATGTCAAAATTTCTGAGTCAGAGGTATTTAAATGATTTCTTCATCAGTGCTTTGGCTAATTCAGTAGCCAAAAAAACATAATGTTTAGTCTCTGATTAGATGGAGTTAAGAAACAAAACAGAATGTCTGAGATTTAAAGCCAATATGACCCAGCAAAAATCTATCATTAAATCAGCTGTAAGTCTCCCTTCTCCCAAAAAGGAAAAAATTAAGAATTGCTCAAGTGTACGAGCATCCAGTAAATTTCCAACAGCTCAGCTTCAGGTGACCTATGAATGGAGGGAGCTCTGTAAGCCTGCAGTGGTCCAAATGACATACGTGACTTCAGGAATGACTGGAAACAGATGCTGGCCCCAAATCAGGTAGAACACACTCAATCTTCAGTGTCGAGGAAGGAAACAAAGTCCCAGCTTCTAAGACGTGTAGCCACAAGTCCAGGAATGGGGCTGGATATAACTCAGAAATGTGGGCTTCAAAGGGAAGAAAAAGAGTGGAAGGGTAGTTTACTTGTGTGCACTGTATGCATGAAATACGGGGTAGACAGGGGATGCTAATGTCACATACTGTACATCTCTAAAATGCCTCCCGGCACTTGAGAATCCTTTAAGCCATAAGCAGCTTACTAATTCAAAAGATGCTCATCATTTTTATCTACAGCACAGATCTGTTTTAGAAGCTTTACATGAAGTTCTGGAAGTCCAGTAAACTCTACAGAACTACATTGGACTCCTGAACAAATTCCAAATCGGCACTACTTTTTTCCTGTATCTTGTATTTTATTTTAGCACAGCCCTGCTTTTAGTAGCCCCAAATCTAAATGTGGTAGGTTATGGATGATAATATACATAAATCACTATACCACAAGGTTTTAAATTACTGAATTATATAAATGCAGAGATGAAATACTACGAAAGTTCAGAAATAGAAAAGAGACTGGAGCAAGAATTTGAAAAAGCTTCATGGATGATGTTGCATCCAAACTGGATTCTGATAAAACAAAATCTGACAGGTGAAACCTGAGTGCAAAAGAGCAGAGTGACCAGAGACAGAGTCCAGAGCAGTTGGTTCAAACGCACAAAGGGGATTCATAGGGAATAGGAGAGGGCATCAGGGCAGCACAGCAAAATCAGGGTAGACCGTCGGGGAAGCTTTGACTTGGGAGGGAAGCTGATTCATCTGATTGTGAGTATCTTCAGTTATAGGCACCTGTGAGAAATACCCAGGCAGATATATCAAGAAAGCATCCCCTCTTAAATATTTGGGGGCTATCCATAAGCAGCTGAAAGCTAAAGCGCTAAGAATGAGACTCTTATATGATTACAAAAAAAAGAAACCACCACCAAAGAATCAAGAGAAATGGGATCCTAGGCATACGAGTCTAGCTGGACATTTTGACAAAGAATTTGTTACTCTGGGAAGGAAGAGATAAAAGGTACTTGTTTGTGCAGGAGGGAATACCTCAAGTGGTAGGGTGCATGCTTAGCATGCATGAGACCTTGGGTCCAATCCCCTGTACCTCCATTAAAAGAAAATAATTAACATTAATCCCCCACCCTCCCAAAAAAAGAAAAGAAAAGAAAAAGCACTTAACACGGGTGCCAAACATTGAGAGCTTAATAAATATTGGCTATTAGCATCATATACTTCCATAAGCACAAAAAATATGTGAATAAGAATGTGTATCATATAACTGATTATTAATAAAGAAAAATTTTTAAAAAGATACATGTTTGGGGGTTTGGGGTGGATACACATGCCACTGGGAAAACCCTGGAGAAGACCAACACTATTGGGACACAGGAAAAATATTAGAAGGAGCTAACGAAAAATTAGTAAAAGAAAAAAAAAAGAAGAGAACTAAGAACTAGGGAGAGTTCAATGGGAAGAAAACCAAAGAAAAGAAAAAGTTCCAGGACAGTGCAATAAGATCAGATAATAAGTTAATGCTTTTACTCCACATTTCCCTCCCCTTAACATTAATTCATCATAATCTCCACTACTCCCTTCCCCCTAACGCTGCCCACTAACCCTCACAATCAGGGGACAAAAAGGTTACTTTTCCCCTCCAGCCCGACTGATGACTCACATTTTTCAGAGGACAGCGCTGACGTGCATACCACTCTTGAGAATAAAAGCACAGGATGACTCCGTGGCCCGTGAAAAGGGAAGCCCACATTAAAACGTTCCAAATTGGCCTTTTCCGACTATCGTTGACAAGGAAGTTGAAAGCCACTAAAGTCAGGAAGACAACAAAAAACATGTATCTTCATCAAAACAGAATCAGGCCTCAGGTATCTGCTCTAATTATTTAATTATCACAAACAGCATCAAGTGTGTATATACACATTTTATTCTCGCCATTGGTCCTATAAATAAAAGTGAAGCTTCAGTGTTGAAATTTATTAATCAGTGATGATTTGGAAATTAGACAGTATTCAGAATAGGTGAAAATATACTTCATGGAATTATTCATATTCTAATTTGTCCCTCTCCACTCCACCTGAAAATGGGTTAGTTTTTTCCAGAGGATGAACAGTGACAGAGCTTAAGAGTGGCAAAGTTATTTTTAGCTTTTATGAACTATCAGACCAGTGTTACCAATAGTCTTCAAGAGGTTATTTAGTTCATTTCAAAGTGTAAGCGTCTTGCAACAGAGTTGCACATAATTATTCAAAAATTAGTGTTTTTACCAACTGATAAACAAACACTGTCTTGAAATGGTATTACTACTTCCCGCCTAGTTTTCTACATTGATTTTAAAATTTTATTTTCTAAATTTATCTTTTAGCTAATATTCAGTACTCACAGCATGTCAAGATACTTACTTCCAAAGAACATGAAGAGCACAAAGAGTACAGGGTAGAAAAAGTTCAAGCAGAGAGCCAAGGCATACTCGTGCACGACGGCAGACACGGCAAAGACGGCCAGCATGGCGGCTGACCTGAACTTCTTAGTGAAAAACTAGAGTGAAAGGAAAATATTAAAAAGCAATTTTTAAAAAGTAAGTAACTAAGCATGAACGACATAAGACTTACAATCAACACAAACTAAAGGCACCTGTTTAATTATATTTGTATTTAATTTTCTAAGTCTACTCCTTGGATTAATCTAAACGTGCTAAAATAACCACAAAACAGACAGCTTAAAAATCCTTTTTTTTTTTTTTACTAAAATAAGGCATTTTCAAAACCATTAATGTTGGAAGATCGGGCATATTTTCAAAAACATTAACTTATCTGTAACTCACTATGGCTGACAAAACACAGTTTTCCTGTATCAATGGACACATCAAATCTCAACCTTTAGAGTAACAAACACCGCAGGGTAGTTTGGGCGGGTACCATTTTACAGGCAACAAAACTAAGATTTAGTAACAAGGGACTTGCCTCATCCATTAAGTAAAACTACGCTCATAAATGAAAGAACATTCAAAGAGTGATCTGCAACACACATTGTCCTGTAGCCAAATAGTGCCCTTACTTAACAATTAAAACCCATAATCCAGAGATACTAGAGTTAATCACCCTTGAGACTCAACATCCCATTTCATCAGTTCAGAAACATTCTGCTCTAAAGAATGTCTCAAAGATATATATCAATAATCTATATACTATTATGCTGTACACCAGGAATTGACACTTGTAACTGACTATACATCAATAAAAAAATTAAGTAAATAAAAATAATCTATATTGGAGAGTTGTAAATCCAGAAATAGGTGGCTTCTCCACTTCTAATAAAGGATAAAAACAAAAAAAAAAAAAAATGAAAAGATTCCAAATGCATTCTTACTTTGTAATTATGTAAAATAAAACCCAGGGCAAAAGCATGGTATTAGTCTAAGTAACT